TAACGCCAGCGCGTGGATGCCGCATCTTCCTCAAAGCCTTGCCACGACGCACTGCGGCGATACGGTCTCTCGCTATCCCGGACAGCTCGTGTTGCCGCCGCCGTCTCTCCGATCGGCAGCCCCTCCCTTTTCTTCTTCGCTTCCTCCTTCTCTGCGCGACGCTGCTCGTCGCGCTCTTCTCCTGAGCCTGTGGCTCCGCCCGGTCTCTGTTCGCCCATTCCTTCAGCGCCGTGCGCGTTCGTTTCCGTTCGAGGCTCTCGCCGGTTCCCTTCTTCACCTTCCGTCATCTCGCCTTCCTTCTTCAGATCCTTTACAGCGAAGTCTAATCCTGATCGAGTGGGCATGCAAAGAATGCTTGTATGTGATAAGCCCTCAGATCCCTCACATAACGCACTACTCTAACTGCTATTTACATCTTAGCTTGCAATATCTCCTTCTTCTCGCTACTTGCTCAGTTAGGTGCAAGAATATCGTGTTACAAAGGAAACATACAAGCATTGAGGATAGCTACAACAAGGTACCTCCTATCTACCAGATCAGCCACCGCCACGCTTGTCCCGTCTACCCCTGCCTGTCCTCAGTAGCTATCGCGACCTTGGAGCAGACTAGCAGCCATCCTGCCAACTGCCTCTGTTGCCCGCCTCCTGCTTCCTTCCGTCCAGCTGCCACTGTGCTGTTCCAGCTGGCTCCTTGGAGCACACCTGCACACATACGAAAGCAAACATACATGCATGCGAGCACCCATCCGAGCTGTGGTGGTAACCTGCTTGCCCTGCCGCTGCCTAGCGCTGTAATTTCAGCCCTTGCCCACATCCCACTTACGTAAGTCCCGCTCAGTTCGCTTCCCATGCATTTCCCCAACCCTTCGCTTCGGCAGTCGTCAAACTCCTGTCCATCCCCTCGCCCTCCCAAGCGGTACTGACTTCTTCGCCGAGCATCCCTATTACTAGCCCAGCACGCTATGTACAATATGTACACTTTGTACAACCCCCGTGCGCTTACGCCTCTCCCCTCACATTCATGCAAATGTGACATAGTTGCGTCCGGGCGGGTGAAGCTTGCGCGACTCGTACGTGATTGGAAATATACTCGAAGAAGATCACATTATTACATGACCGGGTGAAATAATGTGTCCTAAAAACTCAAGTTTGTCCTGTAAAAACTCACACTTAATTTCTTTGGCTAGTAGACGGTTCTCACTCAGTATTTAAAAAACTCTTTCGATGTCCCTCAGGTGCTGTGCTCGGTCTGGGCTCAATATCAGTATATCGTCTAAGTAGACGATGACACACTTATCTAAAAGCGATCATTTGGAAGGTGGCGGGGGCGTTGGTCTGTCCGAAGGGCATTACCGTGTATTCGAACGATCCATAGCGGGTTCGGAAGGCAGTTTTCGGGCAGCCGGGCGTATTGACACGGATCTGGTGGTAACGTCTCGGAAGGTCATTTTTTTAGAAGACTCGGGCTGTGCGAAATTGGTCAATAAGTTCGTCGGCTCGTGGAATGGGGTAACGGGACTTGATGGTAACTCTGTTCAATGCGCGGTAGTCAATGCACATGCGAAATCCCCCGTATTTTTTCGGTGTGAACACTATCGGTGCAGCGAAGGGTGAGGAGCTTGGGCGAATGAATTGCTTTTCGAGCAAGTAATCTAGCCGCTACCGCAGTTAGTCCAGTTCAGGTTGGATGCCCCCAGTTCCAGTTCTATCCCGTGATCGTGTAGTCGCTGAGGTGGCAGTGTTAGAGGTAGGTCATCCGGAAAATCCCGCTGTACTGCTTCAGTAATGCTGCCAAGTCATCCGGTACGTCGACGAGCAGTTTCAGCAAATCGCTTGGTTTGTCTGCTGCCTGTGAGAGTACGACAGCTTATGCTGGCTTTGCTAGCTTGCCTGGACCTTATTATGCTATATCTAGCTTGGGTTTATTTGATCATGCATAGATATGCTTGATTTCCTAGGTTAAGTGCATTCCTATATTTTATTATAGTTATACCACCGAACCAGGCTACGTGTACCGAGCTCAAGCCTATTCGGTTTCCACCGAATTGCTTTCTACCGAGTTCGAGAAGGTTCTGTTCGGGACGCTTCGCGACCCTCAGAACATTCGCGTAACACCTAGGTTACCTGCCTTGTGTCGAGACTATATATAGCCTCGTGTTGTACCCAGGTGAATCATTCAATTCAAACCCACTTTTCTGAGCTCGATCCTAGATCCTCACACTGCCCCGGCTTCTCGAATGTCAACTGCATACACGTCAGCTCTTGCCGCTACTGTGCGTTTCATCGTGATCACGTTGACACGCATCGACGAAGACTCAGGCGAGCTCCAGCGAGGTAGGGCGATGATGTTACCGTTCACTTGCACGGTGGAGTCACCCGTCGTTCAATCGATTCGCGGATTGTGTCGTCACAACCAATCACGGCCGAGTAAAATGTCGGTCCTGTCGAGGGTTGAGAGCATTTCCTGTGTAAATGTGAAGTTACCTTCGCATCGGATCCGAACTCGGTTTACACGTTCCCGTATTGCCAGTGGCGTGTCGCCGACCAGTCGGGCGTCAATCTCACATAAACATCTGTCCAGTGGCAGTTTCAGTCCCCGTGTTGTGGCGGTGTTGATCCGGCTGTGGCTAGCTCCCCCGCCTACAAAGATTTTAACAAAGTCTGTCGGTGCCTTCTCGTTAAGCAGTATGGGGCTGTCTACCATTGTATCCTCCTAATTCGGCCGGGTGTGGTCGATTGCATGAACCGACACAATCACTCGGTGAGGGTCGGTTGGGTCGGGCGAGTGGCGTGTCCTGTTAGGGCTCGTCTGCTACTGACTCCTAGCGTTTCCCTGCTGCTTGGTCTATTTCTCCTGCTCAGCTTCCCCCTTTCCCTTAGCGTTTTCCGGGCACTCGCTCCTACAGTGTCCCGGCCTGTTGCACGCGAAGCAACGCCCCTTGAACGGTGCGGCAGCGGCATTCGCGGCGACGCTGCGTATCGTGGTGTGTCCGTTCGTCCCACGAGTCCGATGTCCCAAGCTGCTGTGGTTGGCGTAGGACCCCGGTCTCGGTCGGCGTAAGAAGTCGAGCTTCTCCGTCATGGCAAGAATCTCATTGAATTCGGTGACGTTGCGTAGCTGAATCTCCTGAGCGATTTCGTGTTTCAGGCCGCCGACATAGCGGTCGATGCGCTCTCCCTCGTGCATGTATCCCACATGCTTGCACAATGCCAAAAACCTGCTGGTGTAGTCTTGGACGGAACCGAGCTGTCGCCAAGTGCGGAGCTTCTGCCGCGCCGCGATCGAAGCCGCAATTGGTTCGAATCTTGCGCGCAGACATGCGCACCACACGTCCCACATGCGATACTGGGCTACCTCCACGAAATACGACGGCGCCCAGGGTCCGGTCTGTCCTTTCCGTGATGGTAGTGTCTAATAATTCGTCGGCTTCATGACGATGACGCGCCACCAGTCCATGGCGGGTCCTCGTAGCAGTGTTACGTCGTATCGAACCTTCACCGAGTCTTCCGAAACGTAGTTGGCGTCGAAGAATACGTTCATCGTTAACAACCAAACCTGACCGGTCGGACCACCCCGTTGGCTTGGCTCAAAGCAAGGCGGGCGCTGCGGCTTGAGCGGCATCGGTGACGGCAGTGCTGACTCGCCGGTCGGCACCGATATCGTAACGCGTGGTTGGCCCCTGGCCGCATTCGTCGCTCCGGGGTGTGCCGCGACGTGATCGTCGTCTCCATCGTTGCGGGCGACGCCATCACTAGCCGCACTCGAGGGTTGCCCCACGCTTCCGTGTTGCGAAGCTTGACGTGCTCCTTGTCCTTGTGTGCCTTGTGTTTGTGACTGCGCTTGTTGCGGCCGTGCGACGTCATTTTGCAGTGACGTACGCTCTGCCGTCAGCGCCGCAATTTCTTTGAAATTTTTGTACAGCTGCTGCAGTAATTGGTTTAGGCACTCCTGCGTGAGTGTCGTGACGTCGATGTGCTCGGCCATTTCGAAGGACAGCGGCCCGTCTCAGCTCTAGGCGCAGTCGTGGTTGCACGCGTTTACGAGAGAACGCGAGGACAGCGGCTCCTAGGTGCTAAGGGGCGTGAGTCCCTTCGAGTGCAAAAATCAAAAGTTGATTTCTTCGGGTGCGAAGATGCGCGGTCCGAAAAGGAAAGTGGCTCTGAATACCAAGTGTTAAAGCGACGGTGCACATTTGCCACCCGAAACCCAAAACCCTGGCGAACTGTTACTGCGGAGGAAAAGTGTCCGCATGAAATCCAGGTTTTCGTTAGCCAACACTTTCGCGCTGGCAAGCCTGGTTCAAAACAAAAACTTCTGAACCCCCGCTTGTCAAATCTAGACCCTCGTTTTAAGGGTGCAATGGAACGAGATAGTGAGGGTTGCACTAGATGTCAAACGATTACAAAGTATGAGCGAAGGCATCAGCGAATGCTTATACGCGAACATGCAAACGGTAACGCGGTGCGTGCGAGCTAGCTAGTGCTAGGCTGGCATCAAGGTTCGGGCTATTCCCGAAGCGTAGGCCGATGCTGCCGGGCAAGCGGTGCATGCTTTGGTGAAACACTGCGCGCGAATGTTGGCGAAACGGCTGCTGTTGTACGGGATGCTGAACAAGACTCGACGTTAACGTCGGAAGGGTTGCGTAGCTGTTACATCCTTAGTTGACAAAAAAAAAAGATATACGGTATGAAATTGTGGGTATAGAGCGCCAAGTTCAGCTTTTCCCGTATTTAATGAACATGGCAAGCTCGTTAGTTCATAATGATGCAACTTAATACTATTAACGTGGATTTTATGTTCTATAGTTTAAAAATAGGTGAAGATTTAGGCACATAGATTGCACTATGAGGTTCTTGCTAGCAAAAGTGTGGTTCATAGTGAGTTGTTTCTAGCTCACTCAAATGTTTCAGCTAGCTGGATGTGCCACGTGATAGACTAGTCTGTTTTTGTTTCCAAGTGCCGAAGTTTTGCTCAAGTTTTCAGATCGACCCAAGTGTTTCATGCAGGTGTACAAAACTCCTCTAATTTCCCAGTTCCTTCAATTTGGTTACTGTAGTTACTGCCCCACCTCCCTTTCCCAAACCAACCCAACAAACCCACCTCGTCATTGCCTCTCCTCCGCGGACCCCCACCCACCTGTTGCCTCTCTCTCTCCCACCCACCCAGCTCATCATCGCCTCTCCCTCCCACCCACCCAGCTCCCCCCCACCCCGCCGGCCACTCTCTTTCCCACCGCGCAACCCCCTCTCCCTCCCACCCGCTGTCGCTTCTCCCTCCCATCCGCCGTCGCCGCTCCCTCCCTCCCGCCGTCGCCGCTCCCTCCTCCCGCCGTCGCCGCTCCTTCCCACCCGACCGTCGCCTCCCCCTCCCCTCCCGCCGTCGCCTCCCCGTTCCTCCCGCCGTCGCCTCTCCCTCCTCCCCGCCGTCGCCTCTCCCTCCTCCCCATCGTCGCCTCTCCCTCCTATCCGCCGTCGCCGCTCCCTCCTATCCGCCGTCGCCGCTCCCTCCCATCCCACCGTCGCCTCTCCCCCCATCCCGCCGTCGCCTCTCCCTCCCATTCCGCCGTCGCCTCACCCTCCCATTCCGCCGCCGCCTTCGGCGACAGGTCACGAGCAAGCTGGTGCGCGAGTGGGAGCTGGTGCGCGAGCGCGGGTTGGTCTCTGCACCGTGAATTGCAGGTGCGTTTACCCTTCCCGGTCCTTTTTCCCTCCCTTCCCCCTACTGGAAGTTCCTATATTTCCGATTTTTCCTTATCTTATTTGTAGTTTCTGTGTGTTGATTGGTCTCTTGCGTTGCACTACCATTTGAAGAGGGGGAAGAGGGAGCGCGAGGGAGCGAGAGTGCAGGAGAGTGCGCGCGTGAGAGCGAAGGAAGCACTAGAGGGAGATAGAGTGGCAGAGCGTGCAGGAGGGAGAGTGGGAGGGAGAGGCGCGAGAGAGAGAGAGAGCGCCGTGCGCGCTTGCGCCGTCGGCGCGGGCGCCATTGGCGCTTGCGCCATGGGCGCTGGCGCATAAGGTGCTTGCGCTTAGGGCGCGAGCGCCGTGGGTGCTGCCCCATGAGGCGCTGGCGCTGTGGGCGATTGCGCCGGGGGCGCTGGAGCCTAAGGCGCTGGTGCAGTGGGGCGCCGTGGGCGCTTGCACTTAGGGTGCTGGCGCCTTGGGCACGGGCGACGTGAGTGCGGTTGTGAAGGCAAGGGCAAGTGCGAGTGCGAACGAGAGAGCAGGTTCGAGCGTAAGCGCGAGTGTGAGTGCGAAAGCAAGTGTGAGAGTGAGTGCCAGGGCGAGTTTGAGGGTGAGTACGAGTGTGAGTGTGTGTGTGAGTGCAAGGGGGAGTGCGAGGGTCCGTTTGAGTGTGTGCTAGGGTGATTACGAGGATGAGTGCAAGAGTTTGTGTGTGTGTTTCTGTGATTGTCGAAGAAGAGTTGAGAGTACATAACATGTGTTTGAGTGAAGAGTGAGTGCAAGAGTGAGTGCGATGGTGAGTTTGATGATGGCTGCGATGTTGAGTGCAAGCGTGAGCGCGGGTGTGAGTGCGAGGGTGTGTGACGGTGTGTGAGGGCAAGTAGAAGAGTGAGTGCGAGTGTGAGTGCGAGGGCGAGTGTGAGCGTGAGCGTGAGTGTGGGTGTGGGTGTGGGCGTGACTTGAGTTCAAGGGTGCCACCGTGCCGGCGACTGTGTGCGCGTGTTAGTGCGAAAGTGTTCGAGTGAGTGCGCGAGTTCGAGGGTGAGTTCAAGGGTGTGTGTTTGTGTTTCTGAGAGTGTGTCTAAGAACGGTTGAAAGTAATTGTGCGTCCGTGAGCGGTTGCGAGAGTGAGTACGATAGTGTGTGAGGGTGAGAGGGCGGTTTTTAGTCCGGGTGCGAAAGCGGGTGTGAGTGCGAGTGTGAGTGTGAGTGTAAGTGCGAGGGTGCGTGCAAGTGCGTGTATGCGGGTGAATATTAGAGGAAGTACGAGGGTGCGTGTTTAGGTGACTGCGAGGGTGAGAACGAGAGCAAGAGTTAGAGCAAGTGCGAGAGTGAATGTGAGTGTAAATATGATGGTGTAGGGTTTGGGGTGAGTGTGAGCTCGAGTGTGAGGGTAGTTCAAGGGTGAGTGCGAGGATGAGTGGGTGTGCGTGTGAGTGCAAGGCTGAGAGTGAGACTGCATGCAAGTGTGTGTCTTAGGGTGAATGCGAGAGCAAGTGCGAGTGTGAGTGCAAGGGTGCGTGTGAGTGTGCTTGCGTGCGCGTGTAAGTATTTGTGTTAGCATGATTGGGAATGAGAGCGATTATGAGTGCAAGGGCAAGTGTTAGAATGAACGTGTAGGTTTGTATGTGTGCTTCTGTGAGTGTGTCTAAGAAGTTGAGAGTATTTGTGCGTGTGTGAGTGGGTGCGAGATTGAGTACAAGAGTGAGTGCGAACGTGAGTGTGAAGTTGAACTTGAGGGTGGCTTCAAGGTATGCAGTGCGGGTGAGTTGTTTCCTGCTTGGCCTCCGCACATGAGTTGCATTCTCTGTTTACTGCTTTCTTGTACACAATGTGTGAACATCCTCTTTTTTTGCTTTCTTGTGCAGTGCGTATGTTGCATTCTCTGTTTTTACTATGTGCAGGGTGCGTGAGCTGCATCCTTTCGGAGAAGGGAAATGAGGGAGGCAATGGGAGGGAGATGAGGGAGGGAGGGAGGGAGGGAGGGAGGGAGGGAGGGAGGGAGGGAGGGAGGGAGGGAGGGAGGGAGGGAGGGAGGGAGGGAGGGAGGGGTGTAGGGAGGATAGGGGGTGATAATCTAATGATAATTTATTAATAGCTGAATGTCATGATGGTTGTGTGTTGACAATCTGTATGTATCTGTGCTTGTTTGCGTGCGTGTCAGTGTGTGCGTGTGTGTCAGTGTGTATGTGTGTGTGTGAGCATGTGTGAGATATGTATGTACAGTCGTGTTGTTTGTATCGTTTGTGTCTGTCTCAAGGCGTGTGCTGAAGTGCCTCGTGTATGCAACTCAGGTTGTGATCGCCGGTGGGGCAAGCCTTAGCGTGCCAGACCAACCTTTGTTGCATCATCGATGCATTTTAGCGTTCTCCCCAAGGCACTCATGGTAATTGTTATGCGTTGTCGTCGTTGTATCAGTACGATGTCGCGTGTGCTCGTTCGTGTTTGTTGTAAAGTGTCATGTTAAAGTGTGTCGGGTCTGCAATTGAGGTGGGGATCGTTGTTGGGGCAGCGTTTGCTCGCCTTAGCATACCGGATCCATCGCTATCGTAGCACCGATGCATTTTATCATTTACTTTATGACATTTGCTGTTGTTGAGTGTTGTCGTTATGTTCCATAGATGCAAATACCGTGATTTGCATCCATGTCGAATTTGTTGTCTTGTCAATTGTGTTTGATGTAAAATCTGGCAAGGCTACCAATTGTTTCCATCCGCCGTATTTATGGACGATTATGGAACAATTGGTCTCATTTGGTTTCACTTTTTTTGGAGACTCTTGTGCTTCAGTGCAGTCATCTTCACACATTTGAAGCAATCGTTCTCAACACGTTAAAGCGAGTGCTTCAGGCGTTGGGAAAATGACAACAAGATTCGACGTTAACGTCGGAAGGGTTGCGTAGATGTCACATTCATATTTTAAAGAACTCGAGGACAAACAATTTGATGTATTTATATAGCACTGAGTTTAATTTTCATGTGTTAATGAATATAACAAGCTAGTTAGTTATTGATAATGGAATAAAGAGTTGGTGTATGATTTAATTGCTAAACTCTGGGCGATTCTATAGAACAATTTATTGTTGTTTAATGAATTAGTTATAAAATCTAGTTAACCAATATGATATTCTGTAACACTGAACTGGCAGGTTCTTGCTCTAGCAAAAGTGTGGTTCAAAATGAGTTGTTTTCCACCTAACACAAATTTCACTTGATTATCCGTGTGTTCTCACGTGGCACCAGCGTTTGGTTTTTGTTTTAGATTTCCAAGTGCCCAAGTTCTGTGCTGGCTTTCAAATTGCCCCATCGTTTTCGGGTTTCTATATACAAATTGTTTCATGCGTCGTCTTTTTCTGGGAGGTGCGCAAATTCTGTTCATCGCTTCATTTTGTTTTGCTCCATCTTTTTCGTGTTGTGTTTCATGCCTCCTCCCTTCTCCCAGTTCGGTTACTGTAGTTTCTTGTTTGCCACTCCCTCCCACCCCGTCATCGCTTCTCCTCCCCCACCAGCTGTTGCCTCACCCTCCCACCTCGTCATCGCCTCTCCCTCTCACCCACCTTTCCATCGTTGCTCCCTCCCACCCCGCCATCCACTCTCCATTCCACCCCACCATCCCCTCTCCCTCCCACTGCGCCGTCGCCTCTCCCTCCCTCCAGCCGTCGCCTCTCCGTTCCTCCCGCCGTCGACTCTCCCTCCCTCCCGCCGTCGCCTCTCCCTCCTCCCCGCCGTCGCCCCTCCTCCTCCCCGCCGTCGCCTCTCCTCCTCCCCGCCGTCGCCTCTCCTCCTCCCCGCCGTCGCCTCTCCTCCTCCCCGCCGTCGCCTCTCCTCCTCCCCGCCGTCGCCTCTCCTTCTCCCCGCCGTCGCCTCTCCTCCTCCCCGCCGTCGCCTCTCCTCCTCCCCGCCGTCGCCTCTCCTCCTCCCTGCCGTCGCCTCTCCTCCTCCCCGCCGTCGCCTCTCCTCCTCCCCGCCGTCGCCTCTCCTCCTCCCCGCCCCTCTTCCCCGCCGTCGCCTCTCCTCCTCCCCGCCGTCGCCTCTCCCTCCTCCTCGCCGTCGCCTCGCCCTCCCATCCGCCGTCGCCGCTCCCTCCCATTCGCCGTCGCCGCTCCCTCCTCCCGCCGTCGCCTCTCCCTCCCATCCCGCCGTCGCCTCACCCTCCCATCCCGCCGCCGACTCTGTCGACAGGTCACGAGCAAGCTGGTGCGCGAGCGCGGGTTTGTCTCTGCACCGTGAATTGCAGGTGCGTTTACCCTTCCCGGTCCTTTTTTCCTCCTTTCCCCCTACTGAAAGTTCCTATATTTCCGATTTTGGTCAGAATGAACGTGTAGGTATCTTCCTATCTTATTTGTAGTTTCTGTGTGTTGATTTGTCGCTTGCGTTGCACTACCATTTGAAGAGGGGGAAGAGGGAGCGCGAGGGAGCGAGAGCGCAGGAGAGTACGCGTGTGAGAGCTAAGGAAGCACTAGAGGGAGAGGCGCGAGAGAGAGCACCGTGCGCGCTTGCGCCGTCGGCGCGGGCGCCAATGGCGCTTGTGCCTTAGCCGCTTGCGCTTAGGGCGCTGGGGCCGTGGGCGCAAGCGCCGTGGTTGCTGGCGCCTAAGGCGCTTGCGCTTATGGCGCAGACGCCGTGGCCGCTTGCGCCTAAGGCACTTGCGCCATGGGCGCTGGCGCATAAGGTGCTTGCGCTTAGGGCGCTGGCGCCGTTGGCGCGGGCTCCGTGGGTGCTAGCAGCTAACGCGCTTGCGCTTAGGGCGCGAGCGCCGTGGGTGCTGCCCCATGAGGCGCTGGCGCTGTGGGCGCTTGCGCCGGGGGCGCTGGCGCCTTGGGCGCGAGCGCCGTGGGTGCTGGCGCCTAAGGCGCTGGTGCAGTGGGCGCGGGCGCCGTGGGCGCTTGCACTTAGGGTGCCGCGCCTTGGGTACGGGCGACGTGAGGGCGAGACTTGGATGTGCGCGTGCACTTGCGGGTGAGTGCGGTTGTTCAGGCAAGGGCAAGTGCGAGTGTGAACGACAGAGCAGGTGCGAGCGTAAGCGCGAGTGTGAGTGCGAGAGAAATTGTGAGATTGAGTGCCCGGGCGAGTTTGAGGGTGAGTACGAGTGTGAGTGTGTGTGTGAGTGCAAGGGGGAGTGCGAGGGTCCGTTTGAGTGTGTGCTAGGGTGAGTGCAAGAGTTTGTGTGTGTGTTTCTGTGATTGGCGAAGAAGAGTTGAGAGTACATTACATGTGTTTGAGTGAAGAGTGAGTGCGATGGTGAGTTCGATGGTGGCGGCGATGTTGAGTGCAAGCGTGAGCGCGGGTGTGAGTGCGAGGGTGTGTGAGATGGTGTGTGAGGGCAAGTAGAAGAGTGAGTGCGAGGGTGAGTGCGAGGGCGAGTGTGAGCGTGAGTGTGGGTGTGGGTGTGAGTTGAATTCAAGGGTGCCACCGTGCCGGCGACTGTGTGCGCATGTGAGTGTGAAAGTGTTCGAGGGTGAGTGCAAGGGTGTGTGTTTGTGTTTCTGAGGGTGTGTCTAAGAACGATTGAAAGTAATTGTGCGTTCGTGAGTGGTTGCAAGAGTGTGTGAGGGTGAGAGGGCGATATTCGGGTGCGAAAGCGGGTGTGACTGCAAGTGTGAGTATGCGCATGTACTTCAGGGTAAGTGCGAGGGTGCGTGCAAGTGCATGTATGCGGGTGATATGAGAGGAAGTACAAGGGTGCGTGTTTAGGTGAGTGCGAGGGTGAGAACGAGAGCAAGAGTTAGAGCAAGTGCGAGAGTGAATGTGAGTGTAAATATGATGGTGTAGGGTTTGGGGTGAGTGTGAGCTCGAGTGTGAGAGTAGTTCAAGGGTGAGTGCGAGGATGAGTGGGTGTGCGTGTGAGTGCAAGGCGAGACTGCGTGCAAGTGTGTGTCTTAGGGTGAATGCGAGAGCAAGTGCGAGTGTGAGTGCATGTGCAAGGGTGCGCGTGAATGTCCTTGCGTGCGCGTGGAAGTATTTGTGTTAGTATGATTGGAATGAGAACAAACATGAGTGCGAGGGTAAGTGCCAGAGTGAACGTGTAGGTATCTGTGAGGGTGTCTAAGAAATTTGAGAGTTTTTGTCGTGTGTGAGTGGGTGCAGGATTGAGTAGAAGAGTGAGTACGAACGTGAGTGTGAAGTTGAACTCGAGGGTGGCTTCAGTGTATGGCATCATGCTGGTGTAGTCTCTGTGGTGCCACGACTAATACCAATTTACCTCTGTGAGCTGTCAATTTGATAGCTCATGTTTTTCTGTTGTGCTTATTTTGTCTCTAGTGTGTGAGCTGCATTCTCTGCCTTTGTCTTCTTGTGCAGTGCTATGAGGTGTACTCTCTTTGTTTTTGTTGTTTCCTGCTTGGTCTCCTCGCAGAGCACATGAGTTGCATCCTCTGTTTTTGCTTCTTGTGCAGGGCGTGTTGCGTTCTCTGTTTTTACTTTGTGCAGGGCGCGTGAGCTGCTTTGGCGGAGAAGGGAGATGAGGGAGGGAGGGAGGGAGGGAGAGAGGGAGGGAGGGAGGGAGGGAGGGAGGGAGGGAGGGAGGGAGGGAGGGAGGGAGGGAGGGAGGGAGGGAGGGAGGGAGGGAGGGATGGAGGGAGGGGTGTAGGGAGGGTAAGGGGTGATTGGCTAGTGATGATTTATTAATAGCTGAATTTCATGATGGTTGTGTGCTGACTATCCGTATGTATCTGTGCTTGTTTGCGTGCGTGTCAGTGAGTATGCGTGTGTGTGAGCCTGTGTGAGATATGTATGTGCAGTCGTGTTGTTTGTATCGTTTGTGTCTGTCTCAAGGCGTGTGCTGAAGTGCCTCGTGTATGCAACTCAGGTTGTGATCGCCGGTGGGGCAATAGCCTTAGCGTGCCAGACCAACCTTTGTTGCATCATCGATGCATTTTAGCATTCTCCCCAAGACACTCATTGTTATGCGTTGTCGTTGTTGTACCAGTACAATGTCGCATGTGCTCGTTTGTGTTTGTTGTAAGGTGTCATGTTAAAGTGTTTCAGGTCTGCAATTGAGGTGGGGATCGTTGTTGGGGCAGCGTTGCTCGCCTTAGCATACCGGATCCATCGCTATTGTAGCACTGATGCATTTTGCCATTCACTTTATGACATTTCCTGCTGTTAAGTGTTGTCGTTTTGCACATGTTCGATACGGTAGATGCAAATACCGTAATTTGCATCCACGCCGACTTTGTTGTCTCGTCAATTGTGTGTGATGTACCGTAAAATATGGCGAGGGTACCAATTGTTTCCATTCGCCGTATTTATCGACGATTATGGAATAATTGGTCTCATTTGGTTTCACTTTTTTTGGAGACTCTTGTGTACCAGTGCTGTCATCTCCACACATTTGAAGCACACGTTCTCAAAACGTTAAAGCGAGTGCTTCATACGTTGGGAAAATGACGAAATTGTGCACTGTTCATTCGAGTCGACCGAAAAAAGTGCTACCAAATGTAAAGGGGTTGCTACGCAACCCAAAAAATCAGCGTCGCTATGGCTGGGCGAGAAGCTCTTTGAATAAAGAGACAGGCATTGCACACAGGTCAGGGCGTACATTTCCAGTTCATGCTTCGTGGCTCAGGACTGTTTTACACGGTGGAAAGCGGTTTTCGGGGTTTAGACATACAACCTGACCACGCCGTCAGGCGCCGGCCTGTCGGGGCGCGCTGGAAGTGGGCTCAACTGATGAACATTGAACACTTTCAGCTTGCACCAAAGCGATTTGGAGTCCAATCCTGCGGCCCTTCGATGTAGCGAGGAAAGGGTAACCATTTTTGTGTGCAATTTTTTCGCTGCGTTTGGTCATTCGCAGCGATGGAGCGTGGCCGTCGTGAGCGACCGGCGCCGATCGCCGTCGTGCCCGTTATCCTCGTTATTGCGTGCATTGCGAGACAAATACGAGCAGCAGCGAACGACCCTAGGGAAGCAGCAGCGGGTGCAGCAGCGGCAGGGGCGGCACTAGGACCAGAAGCGACATGGAAGCTACCACTGGCGGAAGAATGCGCGGGCGGAGGCGGAGCAATGCCGCGCGCGCTTGGGAGAGCGGGCACCGGCGCGGACGCCGCACGCAATGGATCTCCGCTTAGCGAGGGATGGGGGGACATGAACGCGGGCGAGGGTACGCGGTACCCGGTGGAGCCGCGGAGGGGCGTTGTGACGCGCGGGGGAAGGCAAGCGGGGCGCGGCGGAAAGCAAGCGGGGCGCGGGGGAAGGCGCGTGGGGCGTATCCTCCTGCATGAGATGGAGGAAGGCGGGGCGGTGGTGGGGCGCGTGGCGGCCCTTGAAGACGAGCTCAATGTCGCCGCGGGGGGAGCCGTGGCGGGGCCAGCGGTGGCGGGGGGAGCCGTGGCGGGGGAAGTGGTGCCGGGGGGGGAACAAGCGTCGCAGCAACCCGCGTTGCAGGCTGCTGCGCCGGCAGCACAAGGCACTAGTGAGAATGGAAGCGTGGCAGGTGCTGGCACGGCCGTGGGATCAGCAGGAGGAGAGGAGAGAGGGGGTGAGCCTGGAGAGGCGGGCGGCGGCGGGAAGGGAGATGAAGGAAGAATGGAGGGGGGTGGGACTGATAGCGGGAGTTCTGCTGCTGCTGCTTCTGCTGCTGCTTCTGCTGCTGGGACCATCAAGCTTGACTGGTACGACGGCCACTGTGAGCATCATGATTATCGTATCCTCCCCTCTTCTAGCCCTCACGACTCTCTAGAAACGCTGTTGTGATTCCTGAAATTTCCGGCCCTTGTGCTTGCCAGCTTTCTCACTCCAACACTCTCCCTCTCCACACACGCAATTCTCATCACACAAGAATCTCACCACACACAAGACAAACCGCTCTCAAACCACTCTCAAACCACTCCAAAACCATTCTCAAACCACTCCCCAGTACCGTTCCAACCCCTCTCTCTTCCCCTCTTGCCCCCACAGGACCCGCCCCCTGACCATGAAGCAGAGGGTAGAAGAGGACCAGCGCAAGGTGGACAGGGGGGTGTGCAGCGGTACAGTGCGGTACGACAACCAGTACAGCAGGGGGCACATGGCATGGATACCGCTCCCCGGGCGATACGTGCTCATGGATTGCCATCGCAACCAGGTGAGTGGGCGGGTCAAGCGCATGGCCTATGGGCCATGGATGGGTTATGGGTCACCCGGTAACCGTTACCGGCTATCGCCTAGTGCCGATGGCCTATGGGCGATACGTGCTCATGGCTTGCCGTCGCATCGCAACCGGGTGGGTGGACGGATCAAGGGCATGGAATGGCCCATGACCCAGGTGAGTGCCTATGGGCTATGAAATACGGTCTAGGGTCTAGGGTTCAGGGATTAGGGATGGTGTCTAGGGTCTAGGGGCTGTGTCACCCCTGCCTGCGTTCTTTATTCCCAATCTACTCCCCCACCTCTGCCTATCCGCCCTTCCCTTATCCCCAGAACATGAGTGTTCACTGACCTGCAATGTACTCGGCCATGTGGTTTGGTTTAGCTTAGACTCACCACATCCATCCGTTCAGACTTCAAACAGCCCCTGTTCTGAGCCTGTACTTTCGCTTTCTACTCAGTTTCAAATGGTCACTATTTTTTTCTAAAGGGGCATCCTTTCATACTGCCACTCTTCTTCATGGCAAGCACTGTTCAGCCTCCTCGCAACCAAGTCTTCTTGGCCTTAGTCTTGCTGCTCTGTGCCTCTTCCCCCCTGCCCGTGGGAATTCCCCTCCCGTGTCTTGATGTGGCAGCTGAGCAATCGGGTGCGGTGCATCCGTAACTACCTCACGCTCACAGGCTACCTCAACCGCACCCTCGTCGTGCCCCTTCACGCCGCAGATGCAAGCAGCACCAACGGGAACAGCAGCAGCACGGCGCCTGCTGCTGCTGACTCGCACGGCAACAGGTTGAGCTACGACCGGCGTGTATTCTTCGACGTAGCGCACGCACAGCTGTGCTTTGGACCCACCACTGTCATGACCCCACAGGAAGTGCTGCTGCGCTTGCAGGGAGACGACGGCACATACAGCACACGAGCTGCTGGTGTGACCACCAGTGCTGCTGATGCGCCTGGTGCTGCCGATTGGACCAGAGCAGCTGGTGGGGCGGTCGCTGCTGCCTCCAGCACAGCGAGTGCTGTGGATGAGAATACAGGCAGCTCTGAGGCTACAGCGCCTACTGCCCCTACTGCGGCTCCCGGTGATGCCGCAGGTGCAGCTGGGGGGACGAACAGCCAAGCCACAGGGCTGAAAGGCTCCCCGCTGCATGATGCCCTGCGTGTGGACCAGGTAGTGTGTCTCACAGGCCCTTGCTACAACCAGCAGGGCATGGGCGAACCAGACCACCTGCCAGATCTAGCCCGTGTCACCTTCTCCCCCACACTCGCCTGGACTTATGCCAATCTCTCCGCCAGCCATCCGATTAACAGCACCGATGCTGCATACATCGACTCCCTCCTCCTCCCCTCCTCTCCCTCCTCTCCCTCATCTCCCGCCCCCTCCCTCGCCTCATCTTATATGGTAACCTTTGGCGATTTAGGATCTACGATGATGGATGCGTCTAGGAGTCCCCAGGGCGAGTACATGAACGGTCTAGATGTTCCCTTCTTCAGTCTGGACGGCTGCAACAACCGCCTAGCCATTCAGCCTCATCCCGCTGTGCTGGCTGCTGCAGATGCGTTTGTGAGGCGCGTTGTGCTGGGGGCGAGGGCGAGGGAGTGGGAGGGTGCTTCTGGGGATAACAGCAGCGACAACACAGTCGGAAATAGCAGCAGCGGCGGCGGCAGTGGGAGTGGGAGTGGCAGTGGGAGTGGGAGTGGGAGGTACATGGCAGTGCACTGGAGGCGGGGCGATATGATGAGCCAGTACAAGAAGGCGGGGCATGTGAGTGCGCAGCAGGCGGGGCTGTGTGTAGCGCACAAGATGCAGCGCTCCTACAACACCTCAGCCCTCTTCCTTGCCACTGACGCCGGTGCTGATGAGGTGAGTCAGGGTGACTATTGAGTCGACTGGGAAGCATGTGAGTGCACAGCAGGGGGGCTGTGTGTAGCGCACAAGATGCAACACTCCTACAGCACCTCAGCTCTCTTCCTTGCCACAGACGCCAGTGCTGATGATGTGAGCCCACCGAGAGGGTGGGGGGATGGGAGCAGGTGGGCAGGCGTGGAGGGGATGGGAGGAGGTGAGGTGGGCGAGCTGTGGGGAGGGATTGGAAGGAGGGTGGGAGTTTTTTTTGTTCTCTTGTTCTTCGTTTCCACTTCTTTTGCCTGCTTCGACTGGTCCCCATCGCTTCCCACAAAACCATTCATCTATTGCTTTTTCTCCGCTCTTCTCCACTTCCCATGTTCTCTCTTATACTTAATCCCCCCTCATCTCCCTGTTTCTTTCTCCATTCTCAAAACCCCTCGTCTACGCCCTCCTTCCACCACTGCTACCGTAGATCTCCGAGTTTGAGAAGTCTGTCCGATCCGTCATTCCAAGCTTGCAGCTGTTCCAGCTGCCAAAAGATTTCACAGCACAGGCATGGGTAGAGGTCCTCCTGCCCTTCCATTTCGAGCATTTGACCACAGTCAGGGCGACACTAGACAAGGCCGTCTGCGCGATGGCTGATGTGTTTCTCGGGACAAAAATTTCCTCGTTTTCTCAGGACATTTTCAGGATTAGGTCAGGTCTCCGCTACAATGCATGCGATGATTCTACAGTTTGTGCTGATGAGACGAGCAATAAAACCTGAACAAATTGCCCATTTCGTGTTATCATGAGGTAATTTGAATCATCAGGCCTGATTGCATCAGTCGAAAACAAACGGAGGACAGCATAGTTCTGGGGCATGGCAAAGCCTCATAGCATGGAAGAGCCGATGTTATCCTTCCTCCAATTTCACATCCCGCCCATCTTCTCCCCTTCTTCCCCTTGTCCTTCGTCCCCACCCCACATGCTCAGCCTTTCCCATCCTCCCCCACACAACATGCACTTGTTTCCCACAAAAGCCCACCTCCTCCACCCCTTTCTCCGACACCCCACAGCCATACACATCCACGTGCCTCAGAGCCCTCACCTGCCTGAGTGACTCCGGTAGCGACTTGAGTGCCTCACCCTCCCTCAACTGAAGCACTTCTAAGCGCGGCAGCAGGCCAAGGGTGGGCGGGAGGGAGTGCAGCTGCTTGCAAAGGCTGAAGCAGGCCAGTCGGAGCACAGGCAAGGAAGAGAAGGAGCCAGGAAGTTGCAAGAATGAGTCGCATTCGACAATTTTGATGCGGGTTAGGCGGGGCAGCAGGCCATGGTTCTCAGGAAGGGAGTAGAATTCCGGGCAGTTGGATATGCTGAGAAGGGTCAGGGAGGGGAGGGTGGAGAACGAGTCGGGCAGATGGTGGAACTTCATGCACGAGTCGATAGAGAGGCACTGCAGGGAGCATAGAGAGCCGAAGCCAGCAGGCAGGGTGGTGAGATCGTTGCAGCTGGTGAGAGTAAGCGTGCGCAGGCGAGGGAGGAGGCAGAGGGAAGGGGCCAGGCTGAAACCGCGGGAACAATGAGCCAAAGAGACCTCCTCAAGCGAGGATAAGCCGGCCAGAGTGTCAGGCAGATAGTCCTTCGATCCACCATGAACGCTCAGCTTCTTCAGGGCTCTCAAGAGGCCAAACCCCGGGGGTAGAGCTTCCAGACGGTGGCACCAGATTATAGTCAGCTCTTCTAGGCTCGACAGGTTCGAGATCGCCGTGGGCAGGTGCTTTAGGTTTTCGCTATTGAGGAACAGGCGGCGCAGGGAGGCCAGATCACAGAGGGATGACGGAATCCCGTCTATCAAGAAGCAGCCTCTCAGCTCCAGCCACTCCAAGGCTGCCAGCTGGCCCAGATCTTCCGGAAGGGCCACGCGGCTTTGGAACTCGCTGTCGCACTCTATGCGCAGCGTGCGGAGGGCGCGCAGGCGAGCAAAGCCAGGCGGGGGGGAGGGAAGATCCATGTTGTGGAGGTGGAGGTGCGAGAGGGAGGTGAGGTCCGTGAGGAAGGAAGGGAGCATGCGGTTGAAGGAGACGGACATATTGTCGTTGCTGTACTGCAGCGTGAGGGAGTGCAGGCACGGGGCGAGGCGGGAGAGGGAGCGCGGCAGGCAGAGCCAAGCGCCACGCAGCGAGAGCGAGCGCAGGTTGGTGAGATGACCCAGGTCGGAGGGGAGGGAGACGGAGGAGTAGAGGCCGTCAATTGAGAGGTGCGTGAGGGAGAGCAGCGAGCACAGGCGCGGAGAAATCGTGCCTCTTCTCGAGCCGTACCCGAAGGTGGCTACGCAGAAGCTGAGATGCTCCAGACACGGGTCAAGTGACGAGTGGTGGGCTGTTTCTCCACCACCTGTTGCTGCAAGTGCGGCTGCGGCTACGGGTGTGGCTGCTGCTGCGGGTGTGGCTGCTGCTGCGGGTGTGGCTGCTGCTGCGGGTGTGGCTGCTGCTGCGGGTGTGGCTGCTGCTGCCGGTGTGGCTGCTGCTGCGGGTGTGGCTGCTGCTGCCGGTGTGGCTGCAGCGGCGGCGGTGGCGGCAGCAGTAGGACCAGCCTGTGCTGCGTCCTCAGCTTCCACCCACGTGACGTACCCCACCTTCACATACGTCAGCGACGGCAACGTGAAGAGCGCTTCAGGAAAGCGCTCCTTATAGTCGACGCTCCAGCCGCTGCAACGATACCAGCGCGCTTAGCGGCTCAAGGGACACGTTGGATTTGACACTCCCGATCGTTAGATGGTGCAGTGCGGATGCGAAGGGCAGGTTGGGTGGGAGCGATTGGAGATTCCAGCACGCGCTGATGGTGAGATGCGTGAGGGAGTGCACGGACGCGAGTGGAAAGCGCGCATGTCGGGGCACGAATCCAGAGTGACCTGCTCGAGTTTCGCCCACTCTTCGCATGCGGTAACGCGCCGTTGAACTTTCGCAGCTCCAGTCGCCGCATCTGCTGCAGCGCGCCGACGCGAGGCGGGAAGCGATCGACCTGCCACGAGCCGTCGACGTGGAGAGAGGTGAGCGAGGAGAGATCGCCGAGCAAATCCGGCAGGCGCCGCATTTCCGTGCAGTCCGTGAACGAGAGGTGCTCCAGGCTCTTTAGCTGGCCGAAGTTTTCGTGCAGCTGCTGCAGCAACGGGCAGTTAAGGTAAAGTTCTTGCAAGGAAGACAGTTGGCACATCTCGTCGGGCAGCGAGCGGAGAACCTTGGAGCACAGGCGAAACACGCGCAGCGATGACAGCGACGCGACGAAAGCAGGAAGCTTCGTCGTGTGGCCGAGACACTCGAGCAGCGAGAGCTCTTGCAGGCGCGACGACGCGACGCGGAAGAAATTCTCGAGAGATTTTGTTCCGATTCGAAAGTGGGGCGCTCCGGTGAAGCGGGGAGGGGCGATGCTGAGGCGGGCGAGCTGGGGGCGCGCGGAGATCAGGCGAGACAGGAACTCGTCGTCGTAGAAATCGACGGCGTTCGCTTCCAGAGAAAGCGCTGTGACGCTCGGCACGAGCGCCATCGTGCGGAAGAGAGCCGGTGCGGAGATCGCGGGAGCGGAGAGCGTCATCTCGCGCCGCTCGATACTGCGGAGTTCGGAGAATTGCGACTTAAAACTGCCGCGGACGCGGAGGGTCGTCGTGAGGTGCATCCATCGCTTACAAACGACCGCGAGGTTGCTAAAATCACGGCCATCAGTAAAGTTCGGCTCGCCGGTCCTGCCGGTATCCGCGGCGTCAAGTTCTGCTGTCAGTTCTGCGGGGCTGGCGACAGAAGCAAGCGAGATAATTCTGGAAAGAAGCTCGTCTGGCAGTTGGTTGATCGACGTGGCTCGCGCCCTGTTGGCCATTGACGGGGAAAACTGGTCATCCCGCGTTCTCGCTTCACGAGGTACAGACGTCATTCTTGCTTCACACGTCAATCCCTAGAGTTCTACTTCCACGAATGAGTCGGAAAATAAACAGAAATTTGCCGACAATGCAACGTTTCCAGGGTATTGGTCAATGTGTTAGAACGGGAACGCTGAGTCCATGTGAACCCTGGTGGGTTCGTATGAACCTTTGAGGCAATACGGACTGTTGTATGAGAAAGAGAATCCATCAGAAGAAAACCGAGTCGCGCGGTGGCTGGAGCGGAGCATGAAACAGAAGTACCTCAGAAACGGAAGTCCGTATATCTTCGGCGTTCATTTTCAATACAAAACGAATGCCAAAGTTGAGATGAAGGGATGGGCTAGAACGGAAACATGCAACACCTCGTAGCTGACGGAGGATTTGGGGAGGAATCACAACACCTCGTTGCTGCATGTCAGGTCAGTCGTTTGAGAGGCGCACTGCTGGATTGGGGAGGGTGGTGTATTTACTCCTTTTTCACCTCCTTACATCACCTCACTGTCCCCCATTTAACCTTTGTCCCCACGTGCTCAGCCTTTCCCATCCTCCCCCACACAACATGCACTTGTTTCCCACAAAAGCCCACCTCTTCGACCCCTTTCTCCGACACCCCACAGCCATACACATCCACGTGCCTCAGAGCCCTCACCTGCCTGAGTGACTCAGGCAGTGACTTGAGCGCCTCACACTTCCTCAACTGAAGCACTTCTAAGCGCGGCAGCTTGCCAAGGGTGGGCGGGAGGGAGTACAGCTGCTTGCAGAGGCTGAAGCACGCCTCTCGGAGCGCAGGCAGGGAAGAGAAGGAGCCAGGAAGGTGCGTGAATGAGTCGCATTCGACAATTCGGAGGCGGGTTAGGCGGGGCAGCAATCCAAAGGTCTCAGGGAGGGAGGAAAATACCGGGCACTTGGAGATGGTGAGAAAGGTGAGGGAGGAAAGGGCGGAAAAGGAATCGGGCAGATGTTGGAACTTTTTGCACGAGTCAACAGAGAGGCGCTGCAGGGAGCATAGAGAGCCGAAGTTAGACGGCAGGGTGGTGAGATCGTTGCAGCTGGTGAGAGCAAGCGTGCGCAGGTGAGGGAGGAGGCAGAAGGAGGGAGGCAGGCTGAAACTGTGAGAGCAATCACTCAAGGAGAGCTCCTCGAGGGATGATAAGCCGCTAAGGGTGTCAGGCAGATAGTCATTCCGCCCAATGCGAATGCTCAACTTCTTCAGTGCTCCCAGGCGGCCAAACCCAGAGGACAGGGTTTCCAGGTTCATGCACCAGCCAAGAGTGAGCTCTTCCAAGCGCGACAGCTTAGCAATCTCCTTGGGCAGGCGCTTCAAGGAGTCGCTACTGAGGTAGAGGCGCCACAGCACGCTGAGGTCACAGAAGGACTGCGGAAGCGCAGCTCCCACGGAGCAGTCTTTCAGCTCCAGCCACTCCAACGCTGCCAGCTGGCCGAGGTTTTGTGGAAGCGACACGTGGGTGGGGCCGCCACTGTCGTACTCTATGCGCAGCGTACGGAGGGCACGCAGGCGCGCAAGGGCAGGCGGGGGGGAGGGAACGTGCATGTTGCAGAGGTGGAGGTGCGTGAGGGAGGTGAGACGCGCGAGACAGGACGGGAGGTCCCGGCGGAAGGTATCCGCGTAGTTGTCGCCGCTGTAGTGCAGCTTGAGCGAGTGCAGGCACGGGGCGAGGCGGGAGAGGGAGTTCGGCAGGCAGAGCCAGGAGCCATGCAGGGAGAGCGAGCGCAGGTTGGAGAGATGGCCTAGGTCGGAGGGGAGGAGGGAGGAGGACGAGAGACAGTCGATGGAGAGGTGCGTGAGGGAGAGCAGCGAGCACAGACGCGCGGAGAGCCTGTCGCCTCTCCGGCCGTACAACAGGTTACCGAAGCACATGCTCAGATGCTTCAGAGACGGGCCCAGCGGCGAGACGGAGCCCGTCTCTCCACCACCTGCTGCTGCTGCTGCTGCTGCGGTGGCGGCTGCTGTGGCTGTGGCTGCTGCTGCGGCGAGGGCGGCGGCAGTGGGATGATACGGTGCTGGGTACGCGAAGAGCGCGGCTAGCTCCCTCGCCTCCTCCATGGCCGCCACGTGGTCTGCTTCCACCCACGAGACGTACCCCGTCTTCACGTACGCCAGCGACGGCAGCGCGAAGAGCGCCTCGGGAAAGCGCTCCGTCGGGTCGACGCTTGACACCTCGAGCCGCTCCAAAGATACGAGATTGCTTAGCGTCTCGAGGGATACGCCGGGAAAGACACTAATGCCGATTGTTAGATGGCGCAATGCCGACGCGAAGGGCAGGTTCGGTGGGAGCGACTGGAGCCTATAGCAGGCACTGATGGTGAGATGCGTGAGGGAGTGTACGGACGCGAGCTGGAAAGCGCCCATGTCGGCGCACGAATCCAGAGTTACGTTTTCGAGTTTCGCCCATTTCTCGCATGCGTCTGGTAACGACGCGCCAGTGAAGTTTCGCAGCTCCAGTCGCCGCATCTGCTGCAGCGCGCCGACGCGAGGCGGGAAGCGATCGACCTGCCACGAGCCGTCGACGTGGAGAGAGGTGAGCGAGGAGAGATCGCCGAGCGAGTCTGGCAGGCGCCGCATTTCCGTGAAGTCTGTAAACGAAAGGTGCTCCAGGCTCTTTAGTCGGCCGAAAGTTTCGGGCAGCTGCTGCAGCAACGGGCAGCTTAGATAAAGTTCCTGCAGGGCAGACAGCCGGCACATCTCGTCGAGCAGCGAGCGGAGAACCTTGGAGCACAGGCGGAACACGCGCAGCGACGACAGCGACGCGACGGAAGCAGGGAGCTTCGTCGTGTGGCCGAGGCATTCGCGCAGCGAGAGCTCTTGCAGGCGCGACGACGCGACGCGGAAGAAATTCTCCACAGCTTTCGTGCCGATTCGAAAGTGGGGCGCTCCGGTGAAGCGGGGAGGGGCGATGCTGAGGCGGGCGAGCTGGGGGCGCGCGGAGAGCAGGCGAGACAGGAACTCGTCGTCGTAGAAATCGACGGCGTTCGCCTCCAGAGAAAGCGCCGTGACTCTCGGCGCGAGCGCCAGCGCGCGGAAGAGCGCCGGCGCGGAGATGGCGGGAGCGGAAAGCGTCATGGCGCGCAGCTCGGGACCGCGGAGTTCGGAATGCTTTGACTTAAAGCCGCCGCGGACGCGGAGGATCGTCATCAGGAGCATCCATCGCTTGCAAACGACAGCGAGGTTGCTAAAACCGGGGCCATCCGTGAAGTTGGGCTCACCAGTCGTGCCGGTTTCATTTGCGCCGTCAAGTTCTGCTGTCAATTTTGCGGAGGTGGCGGCAGTCGTCGCGAGCGAGATAATTCTGGAAAGAAGCTCGTCTGGCAGATGGTTGATCGACGTGGCTCGCGCCCTGTTGGCCATTGACGGGGAAAGCTGCTCACCCCGCGCTCCTGCTTCACGAGGTATAGCCGTTCTTGATGGATGCGAATGCGACATTCTTGCTTCATACGCCAATCCCTAGAGTTCTGCGTCCTTGAATGAGTGGAAAACTAAGGTACCGTATTTCTGCCGCTAACGAGTGAGTTGCCAACAGCGTTTCTCGAAGGCAGAAATGCGTGTGAACTGCAAGGCAAATGTGTGTTGTTGACCGTTTGCATGTTTCAGGCGATATGGTCTACGGACCGTTGTGGGAACACATTGTTCTGAAAGAGCAGCAGGACAGTGCAGGTGTTCTGTAGGAGCATTTGGTGGGGAAATGGATGGGATGGGAGGGAGGGAGCATGTACTTGCAAGGCGACACGAGAGCGCGGAAAGATCAGAAATCTGACGGATTTTTTTCGAAAATTCTCGGTACCAGATCCCTCACTATTCCGAGCGATTTCTGAAAGACAAGCAGGCTGTAGACTCTTGTTACTTGCTCGATTTGTTGTTTATTAATGAACTCATGTCTCATATGTATCACTAGAATGGATCATGATGTGCCATGGATTCCGTCGGGTGCTTTGACCCTGTCAATGTCTAGTCATACCTATAATCCTCAAAGTGTTTTTGCCATCACGATCCGAACCACCTTGTTAGCTCTACACAAGAAGATTGAATTGTACCCATGCAGCAGGTATTTCATCTGTTCGTGTTCATCAGGTTTCCGGCTGTGTGTCACTCACAGAACTCATGCTCATTCCCAGACCGTGAGGCGCTGCCAAAGAGAAATACCGGTACCTACTGGCAGTTATTGCATTACTTCAAAGGGAGAATATAGATCTGGGGCATGGCCAAGGGAATGTCTCATTCATAGCATACAAGAGCCAACATTATTGTTCCTCCAATTCCACACCCGCACACCCTCTCCCCTTCCTCCCCTTGTCCTTCATCCCCTCCCTACGTGCTCAGCATTTCCCATCCTCCCCCACAAAACATGCACTTGTTTCCCACAAACGCATGCCTCCACCCGCTCCTCCGACACCCCACTACCATACACATCCACGTGCCTCAGAGCCCTCGCCTGCCTGAGCGACTCAGGTAGCGACTTAGGCGCCACACACTCCCTCAACTGAAGCACTTCTAAGCGCGGCAGCATGCCTAGTGTGGGAGGGAGGGAGTGCAGCTGCTTGCAGAGGCTGAAGGAGCTGGGGAGGTGCGTGAAGGAGTCGCATTCGACAATTTTGATACATTAGGCTTGGCAGCGAGCCGAAGGACTCAGGAAGGCAGGAAAATACCGGGCAGTTGGAGATGCGTAGAAGGGTCAGGGAGGGAAGCACGGAGAAAGAGTCGGGCAGATGGTGAAACTTCTTGCACGAGTCGACAGAGAGACGCTGCAGGGAGCATAGCGAGCCGAAGCTAGATGGCAGGGTGGTGAGATCGTTGCACTTGGTGAGGGTAAGCGAGAGCAGGCGAGGGAGGAGGCAGAAGGAGGGAGGCAGGCTGAAAATGTGAGAGCAATGAACCAAGGAGACCTCCTCGAGGGAGGATAAGCTGCCCAGAGTGTCAGGCAGATATTCCTTCGTCCCTCCGCGAATGCTCAGCTTCTTCAGCCCTCCCAGGCGGCCAAACCCCGGGGGTAGGGATTCCAGCATGAAGCACCAGTCGAGGGTCAGCTCCTCCTGGCGCGACAGCTGAGAAATCGCCGTGGGCAGGTGCTTTAGGTTTTCACTATTGAGGAACAGGCATCGCAGGGAGGTCAGATCACAGAGGGACGGCGGAAGCCCATCTATCAAGAAGCAGACTCTCATCTCCAGCCACTCCAAGGCTGCCAGCTGGCCCAGATCTTACGGAAGCCACACGTGGAAGGAAAAGAGACGGTCGTACTCGATGCGCAGCGTGCGGAGGGCGCGCAGGTGCGCAAAGGCAGGCGGGGAGGAGCGAAGGTGCATGTTGTAGAGGCGGAGATCCGTGAGGGAGGTAAGGTCCGTGAGAAAGGACGGGAGCACGCGGTGGAAGGTTTCGGGGCCCTAGTTGCCGCTGTATTGGAGCTTGAGCGAGTGCAGGCACGGGGCGAGGCGGGTGAGGGAGTGTGGGAGGCAGAGCCAGGTGCCGGAGAGGGAGAGCGAGCGCAGGTTGGTGAGATGACCCAGGTCGGAGGGGAGGAGGGCGGAGGAGGAGAGGTTGTTGATGGAGAGATGCGTGAGGGAGAGCAGCGAGCACAGACCCGTGGAGATCCTGCCGCCTATCCTGTCGTGCACCAAGCTGCGCAGACAGATGCTGAGATGCGTCAGGGATGGTGTAGATTCGTGCATGTTGCGTGAATGCGAACTCAATCTTGTGAAGCACTCGGTTCGTGCGAAACTTCTGACCACGAAAAACCGCTTCGCACCTTTCAACCCACAGCTGATGGAGTGCGATGGATGTGAGGGTCAGCTCTGGGAATGCTGAGCTGGACCCCGTTTTCCAGAACAGTAGGTCACCAAGCGTGTCAGTGGGACGGTTGGGATTCAGCATGAGCAGAGCACGCCTGAGGGCGGAGGTGACTGCCTGGATCCGAGGGCAGAGATGAAGGCAGTGGTCCAAGGTCCCCCCCCCCTGCAATAAGGGCAGGTTGGTTTCTCGCTGAGGAATGCAAGACGCTCTCCCACTTGCCAATTTTAACCGTGGATGCGGATGAGGACATCACGTGGACGGCTGGGAACTGCCAATGAGTCCCGTACCGACACCACCCTCTTCCAGTTGATTCGTCTCCCCCATCTTTTCACCCACTTCTCCCTTTTGCTCGACTCCTGGTAAACCCCTTTCCAGCACTCCCTCATCTTCCTGAGGGAGATCACCTCCCCTCCGTCCAGAATGTTCAGCGGGGGAGTGGAGTCAGCCGAGCAGAGAAGGACTGAACAGAACCGTAGCAGTTGCAACCAAGACACTCGCAGAGTAGTCAGTGCTTTCACCGCCAATCTCGCTGGACCGCTTCTGCCGAGCTGCCGTGACAATTTTCTCTGCTGCTTTAACACTAACTCGCCGTTGCCGTCTTCCTCCAGCAGATCTCCGACACGCACCTCCCAGAGTCCCTTGCTATCCTTTTGCCCGCCGATGGGCGTATGAAATAGAGATGCTTTGTTAAAAGCCAACCGCTCCTTCAGAATCGCCTCTCTGCTGTCCGCCGCTGGCCGGACGCAGAACGGGGGTTAACAAAATTGTCACACGTTTGCTTCCATCTCGTGCTCCTCCCCTTCCAATGTTTCAGCAGGTTTGCGTGCAAAGAGAAGGTGTCCTCGCCCGAGGGTAGATCTGCCGCTTGCACCATAATCGCCTTCTTCATGGGGTTCCGCTCCGTGAGATAATGGCCCACTCTCCTGGCAGCGAGGCATGTGATAACTATCCCCGGGTCTTTCACTCCGATACCGCCCGCCTCCCTTGGGGTGTATAACAGCGTCCTGCTCCAGAGTATGAACCCCTTCACTGTCGCCACGCGGTTACCCGACGTGATGCTCTGCAACAGCCTAGTAATCTCTTCCCAAATCTCTGTTGGGGGAGGATAGATCTGTGCTTGGAATGCCAGCAATGGGATGATGTAGCTGTTGACGACTGTAGCCCTTGTAGATATCGTGAGGTACTTCAACTGCCACTTCGTTAATTTCCCCACGATGTGTTCCCACGCCTTCTCCCAGGTTGGCAAACCGCTTCCGGAAGGCGTCACCCAGACTCCCAGCAAGTGCTCCGCTTCCTCCGCACCAACCCATTTGAAGCCGCTTGAACCGTCACCCTTCGCACCCAGGTTTGCGCCAAGAGGTAATAGCATCGACTTCGACTTGTTTGTTGCCAAACCAGACACTTCCAGCCACTCGAACCGATCCAGCACCTCCTCTGCTTTGACTATTTGCTCCGTGCCTTGCATGGCCAACATTGTGTCGTCGGCTTAACCGAGGTAAGCGCGGACTCTACTTGGCGAGACCGAATTCCTGTCTTTCCACCTCCCTCGCCAATGGCTCAACTGCGCAAAGGAAGAGGTAAGGCGCCAACGGGCATCCTTGCCGAACTCCCGACGCCACTTCCACTCCTTTCCCCATCCAACCATTAATCATCATTTTCGTCGATGTGTTTTCATGCAGGCCTTTTATCCACCCGACGAACCGCTCCGAAAAACCCATCTTGGCCAACACTTCAAACAAAAAGTCTCTCGACACCGAGTCGAAGGCTTTCTGAAAGTCCACCAAAAGTAAGTACCAGTCCTCGTTGCCGTTCTTGGCAGCGTCTATAACGCCAGCCACCAGCGCCACCGCATCCGAGGGTCGTCGCTCCGAGATGAACCCATATTGCTCCGGGGAGATGACCAAGTGGAGCACCGACTTCATTCTATCCGCCACCACCCTCGCCAAAACCTTGTAAGTGAAATTAAGGAGAGTGATCGGCCAGTAGTTGTTGATCTCGTCTTTCTCGCCTTTCTTATGCAGCAATATAGTGACCGCTTCCTTGGTTTCCGATGGCAGGGAGGCGGATGCCTCGAAGCTCCTCACCATGGTCATGAAACTCTCCCCCAGCAGATCCTAGTGAGCTTCGAAGAGCTCCTTAGGTAGACAATCACCTCCAGGCGATTTGTTTTTGCCATCGCCACGAATGCCTTCTTAACCTCCTGCTCGGACCAATCCGCCGACAGTATCTCCGCCACTGCACTGTCCAACCGCCGAAGCGAGGTGAGGTCCTAGTCCGAGAGAAGGCACAGGCCGCGTCCAAGATCTGCTGTGAGCCGGTAACTCGTCCTGCGCCGACTTTGAGCTCCTTAATCTGGGTACGCGCCTTCCGCTCATGGATCTTCGCCGATAGATGCTTCGAGGCCAGCTCCCCCGTGAGTTCCGCCGTAAGGCCAGCACAGAAGACGAGCGGGTAGACCGCCACGAAACAGAGCCGGAGCCAAGGCTGAAAGTGTAACCCTGTGACGACCGCTGCGTTGCCAAGTCGTCGGCCCAGGAAGCGTCTGCGTGACCAGTGAGGGCAACTCGAGCCCGTCCTCCAAGCACGAGCCCCATGCCCGACGTACTGCACAAGTAGCGCAACACCCTCTTAGCGGCATCCATGTGCTCCTTCTGGTGTCTCCCAGGAGCAACATAGCGTGCCAGGATTCTAAGAGGTCCGTGTGGTGTTGTACTCCTTCAGCTTCGACTCCTTCGCCTCCAATAAAGCTCTTGTGACTGAGCAGTCTGGGTTCCGCATCATTTCTTGCTTCAACACAGCCACAGTAGATGTTAAGTGCAGAAGAGTTTTCTTAACCCGTTTACTCTCCTCCTTCGCATATGTTCTGAGCCCGGCTCCCAGTCTCTTCAGTAACAGCTCGAAGCTGCAGCCATCATTCACAAAAGTGCGCCGCACCGTTGCCTCTACGATTTTCCGAATGCCTGGACGGTGGATCAACGAAGTGTGTAAGCGCCATAAGCCTGTGCCTCTGCAGTGCTCCTCATCAAGTCTGAGAGCATCAGAGATCGCATACCCGTGGTCTGAAATGGGTTCGTCAGGCATGATATGCGCGGAGTAAGAGAGGTAGGGGATCAGGGATTGTGAGACTAAGGCTCTATCGATGTGAGTGCTGACTCTATGGCTTTTTGCAAAAAATGTGTACTCCCTGCAGCCCGGGTGCAGGATTCTGAAGGCATATGATAGCTGAAAGGCTACGCAGCGGTGGAAAAACCGTTCGTTTTCTAAGGCCTTGCCGTGTCCTCTCGAGTTGTCTAAATTCGGGTTTTCTATCATGTTCAGGTCGTTTATTGGCATGAGATGCTCCGAAGGTGAGATCTGATCTAGTAGGGGACCGAAAGAGTCTCTGAAGAAGGCGGATCTGGCTGGAATGCTGGATGGGAAGTAGACGGCAAGGAGGACTATGTCTAGTCCGAGGCCTTTGATCGTGGTTTTCGCTATTCTACCGGACTGGTGAGCTAAGGAGTCATGGAACGTGATGGCAGGGTTACGGCTGAGAATAGCTACACCGCCAGCGCTGGTCCTAGGTGCAATGGCTACAAAGGAAGTGGCTGAGAGAGAGGTCCGGTAAGGATGGTCTGGAGCGAGTCTAGTGTCAACTAACACGGCTATGTCTGAGCCTGTCGTAAACCATGTTTTAACTCTGTTCTGCTTGGTATTGTTGCCTAAACCGTTCACGTTTAGGCTGGAGAGGTTTAGATGGTTTTTAATATTCATGGGTCCACCGACTTGCAGCCCCTGATCATCCACAGGCTGATAAAGGAGACAGTACAGGCGACGCTAACTCCTAAACACCAACAGCCTGCTACATACAGGGAACGCTCAAACTCCGTCACAGGCCGTATTCCTTGCGGATGACCTCTAGGTTCAGCTTTTCGAGTGACTCCTTCGTTGCAGAGCTAGCCTTCGCCAGCTCTAGCAGGTGAGCAGCTGCAGAAATATGATCTGCCGCCGCCATGAGACTTTTCCCCTTCGCCTTCCCGCAGCCCATTTGCGTGCAGATCCAATCCTCCCTGCTGCTGTCGGTGGAGACGAGAGCAATGGCCGGATCGCGGAGGATGGGAAGAAAAAGCGATGACGCTTTCAGCAACGCAGCTGCGAAGTTCCGAGGACAGGTTAGTGCATGAGTGAGAGACGCGAAGCGGAAAGCAAATGTGAAACTGATTGCTGCCTTTACCGTTAAGCCTGTGCACTTTGCCAAGAGTGAGGTTCCATTTACTGACATTATTCTGACGCTCAGTGACAAAAGGATCATGATACTTATCATAATGCTTGCCGCCATAGAGCGAACAGGATAAGGACGGATAATGGACGAGGAGCTTCTTCGCCCGGTCGACAGGGTCAGCAATCGTGTGGATCTAGCGGTGGTTCTGACTCCCTGGGTGAGCATAGGCCAGACCCTTCACCACGTCCGTGTCTGCTCCAGTGACAGGGTGAAGCACAAGGTGCAGACAGGTACACCGCAGAAACGCCGTACGCTTGGTACTTGTGAGCGGGTAAGTAGCCATGCGGTCGTGAATCAGAGTCAGCTCGACAGCAGCAGAAACACCCATGATCATGAACTCGATAGCTTGCGGGTTCAATGCCTTCTCGCGAACGTAGGACGAATCTTCGGTATGTTGCCAATGAAGCGTAATGAGTTGAGCCTGGTTCCTAAGCGGCTGATAAATGACTTCCTTCTTCCGCACCCATTCCGCATCTGATTCCTTGACGAATGAAACTTGCAGGCGACAGAAGCGTGCTTGGCGATATAAGCCGTATGAAGTTTCTGAAACTTGGTCGTTGTCGCAGCATCAGCTGATAACTCTGTGTACCACCCTGCTTTATTAGTGCCGTAACAGCCTCAATCAGGCAGGAACCTTATGCAACATGAAAGGAATCAACAAGATGGCGACTGAGCACAAACCGAAGCCGACTTCCTTAACCAGATCAATAGCCATCTCGTCATCAGAGTCGTCGTCGATGAAGTCTTCAGCATCGGTGAGTCCAACCGCGGGAATAGTGGCCTTATCAGCAGCAGATAACCCAGATCCGCCAGCGGCTGATGAGGCAGACTTGTCCTTGTCATTGATTGCAGGAGCCTGAAGCCCAGTGGAGCTATCAGCACCCGTGGGAGCAGGCGGGTCAAGCGCAAGACGAGAGCGCTTACCCTTAGCCAGAGCTAGGATATCAGCTGGGTGAGACATTGTGCGATGATGAAAGAAAGAAGGCAGCAGGAGAGCGTGCCGAGCACTCTCGAAGACTGTGTGTGATGCCTGATAAGTGAGCACAGAATCTTTAAATAATGTCCTGGCCTTGTCAGGTTCCAGTATCTCGAGAAAATGGTGATGCATTCTCGAGGTCTCCACCTTGGTAGTGTCATTCTTGATAATAGAAAAGTTGTAATAGAAGAACTTGTAAGATATGCAGTCACCGAAACCATGACGCGAGCCTTAAACGACAGCGTAACCGGGCAATGCCTAACGAAGTCCGTGTGATGTCGCCTGATAACTGGAGAAACCTAAGTCAGTAGAAAAGACTGGTATTCCATTGTTAAGGTTACAGACGATGCTTTTAACAACAGCGGAAGCAAACGTATGGCACGATAGCGAGGATGTTGACCATTGTTGACTCGGCAGAATTCATGGCCGCCATAAGGCGGAGAAGGCGGAGAGCATTTCGGATTGTTCGCTACTGTACTGAACATTTGTGTTTCTGAACGCGTACACCTTCAGGGGCGCCTTAAGGCGGATAATATGGTATCTTGGGAAAATATGTCATCCTTAATAAACAAGGGTCTCATTAATATGTTTGGTGAATAAATAATAGGCACGGGAACTACAAAGTGTGTTATCACGTGTTGATAAGACGTTTCACGTAATCAGTAACTATTGTTGGAATAACCAAAAGTTATTCAACATTCTCGAAGGTTCTCTCTTAGCGCACCGCTTCATAACGAACCAGCGCATTGTACCAGTATCACGTTAGCTCGTATAAGTGTTAAACTATGATAGAGCTGAATGATGATTGACTAGCAAGGTTAGGCTACAAGTAGGAAACCCCAATGTGTTGTACCCCATATTATGTGCTGCGATCAAAGTTGATCGACCCTAGGATCGCCTCAGGAAGGTTCGCACACAGTTGAGTAGTGATGGTGGGCCCTTGACCTCAAATCAGAGTGTGTAAAATGATTGAGATGATAAAAGCATGCAAATACAGGCATATAAATAAGAGTACAGGTGGAATACAAAACGACCTAGACTAGCCATGTACTCTAAGGGGTACATTCCCTTATTGAAGCGAAATCCAACCGTGCGACTCCAGACACTTACGAAACTGCCCGGGCAGAATCCTCGCCACTGCCGCTGTTTGATGTTGCATGCCTTGACGGTCTAGATGTTGCGTAACTGTGTGCGACCCTTCTCGTCATTCTGTCTCTTCGCATTCGACCTCGATATCGTGTGCTTCACTTGCTATGGTTAGGAGTGCACAATATATTTTCTCATTTCACTATTCGTAACACCCCCCTTCACTCCTGGCCCGCTTGACTACTCCGCTGAGTTTGGAGCAGTGCTGGTAACTGTTGACGTGGCAGTCGCTTCGTGAGGAAGTCAGCCGCCATGTCACCCGTCGGGCAGACCTTGCCCTTGTCGACTTCGTCTTTGACGAAGAAGTACTGCAGTGCAATGTGTTTGGTGCAGTTGAGGAATCCTGGCTTGTTTGCGATTCTGATCGCGCTCTGGTTGTCGCAGTGCAGGCGGAAGTTCGGGGAAGCTGGAATTTTCGCCTCTTGCAGCAACTCCTGTAGGTAGAGCCCTTCGCGAACGGCTGCCGTCGCAGCGATGAATTCAGCTTCCGCTGATGACAGGCAACCAGCTCCTACTTATGCGAGTTCCAGGAGATGGGCCCGCTAGGCTCGAGGCAAAACGGAAACCCGGTTATGGACCGTCGATTGTCGGGGTCAGCAGCGTGATCGGCGTCCACGTAGCCGATGAGGTTGAAGGACGCGGTTGGGACTATGGAGTAGCAGAGCCCGACATTGGGCGTGGAGATGAAGAATTGCAGAGCGCGCTGAAGATCCAGTAGATTCTCAGCCGTTGGTTTGCAAGAGTACTGAGCCAGTTGGATCGCGATGTATGAGAGGTCGGACCTGCAGGTGACAAAGGCGAAGAGCAGGCATCCTAGTTGCTGCTGGTAAGTCTGGAGTCCAGCGGGGGATTGGGTTTTGTTGTCAGGCTTGTGGTTCGGTCCGGGAGTGCGGTAAGGGGTGGAGAGCGGTGCAGGCGCAATGTTGAAGCGTTTACCAAGTTCTTCTGCGTACTTGGCTGCTGAGAGATGAATGGCTTCTGGTGAGTAGGAGATGTTTAACCCAAGGAACTGCTTCATGGTCAAAGTCAATGCTGTGCCTCTGATCGTAGCTGCGCACGACCCATCGCGCCTTAAATCGCTCGACCGTGCCGTCCGCTGCGGCCTTCACACGGAAGACCCATTTCCAGGGGAGAATCCTTCTCCCCTTGATTGCTGCTCGATCGACGAGCACCCAAGTTTCGCAGGACTCGAGTGCCTTGATCTCTGCGTCCATTGCCTCACGCCACTCCTTGCTGTGTGGTCCTGTGAGAGCTTGGCGCGGGTTCTTTGGCTCGATGACACGTGGCGCCATTGAAGTGGTGGTGTGGAGCCCGAGAAGTTGCAGCCCCGAAACAGTGCTGTCGTGGCGATGCTGCAGGATGACCTCCTGCATGTCATCGGCTTTCTGGTTCAGGTGGTGCTGGCGGTGCTTCGCTTCTGCTGCTTCCTCCTGCTCTGCCGATTCCATCTCCAGGGGAATCTTCGTCGTCGTCATCGCTGCTGTGGTGATCGCCTCATGTGAATTCGCCCCTGGTGTCTTGCTCCAGGATGGCTGCGGCGGCTTCATCTTCAGGTGTGGGGTAGCTGTGCCCGTCGTTGGCGTAGACGCGATTCGCATTCGTCCGCTCGTCTTCGCGGAACTACTCGAGGAAGAGCCGCTCGTAGAAAATGACATTACACGCGTTCGTGACCTACTGGCTAATGAGGTCCAGGATGAGCCACGCCTTGTGTTCGTGGCTGATGCCGAGGTAGATATGTGAAAACAGAACGAGGAATGATGGCTTTGAGTAGCATGAGGAGTACAAGTAGGAAACCCTAAAGTGTTGTACCCCATATGAACTACCCCACTACAGCCTACACAGACTATAGCATATAAGTTTGACACACCCCCATAGGCAAAGTGGGGGAGAACAAGAGGTCACAAGACCAGTCGAGAGAAGCAAAGCATGTGAAAAGGAAGAACGAGAATGTTTGAACTATGACTGAAGTGAGTACATATGGGAAACCCTAATTGGGTTGTACCCCTTATGGGATACCCCACTATAGCCTACACAACAGCATAAGCTATATAATGTTCTGACACACCCCCATAGGCAAAGTGGGGGAGAACAAGGGGTCACAAGACCAGTCAAGCAAAGCAGAGCAAGCTCAGGGTGGATCACAAAGTCACCACACAGTCCGAGCACAACGACAAGGCCACAAGGCCAGTTCACATGCAGGAGTACACATATATATATAGAGCTAGACAAGCAAGAGCAGGTATATATATGTAACAGTACAAGCAAGGTCAAGAAGAGAGCAAGTGAGGCAAGACAGGTACAAGACCCAGCTGGGTGCAGAAGCGCTGATGGTCACAAGGCGCAAGTGCCTTGGTGAACACATCAGCAGTGTTGGCCGCAGAGGCCACGTAAGCAAGTCGCAACTGACCACGCTGCTGCAGCTCACGAGCAAGAAAGTAACGGAGAGCAATGTGCTTCGTTCTGTGCTCCAAGCGCTGCTCTCGACACAAGGCCAGCATGGCCTTGTTGTCTACGTACAGCACTGGAGGAGAACGAGGCGGCTCTCCAAGGTCAGTCAGCAGGTAGGTGAGCCAGCGAAGCTCCTGTGCAGCCATGGCCCCGGCGTAGATCTCAGCCTCACAACTGGAGCCGAGAACAGAGGACGAGCGAGTAGCCCGCCACGAGACAGAGCCGGAACCAAGACTGAAGGTGTAACCCTGCGACGACCGCTGCGTAGCCTGGTCGTCAGCCCAAGAAGCGTCCGCGTGCCCAGTGAGGACCACTGGACTCCGCCCTCCAAGCACTAGCCCCATGCCCGACGTACTGCACAAGTAGCGCAACACCCTCTTCGCTGCAGCCATGTGCTCTGGTCGGTGTCTCCCAGGAGCAACATAGCGTGCAAGAATGCTAAGAGGGTATGCAAGGTCAGGTCGTGTGCAGGTCATCAGGTACATGAGGCAGCCAACAAGCTCTGGGTACGGGCCACTCGACTCTACGGACTCATCCGAAGGCAGAGCTGAGAGCGAGTGGCGAGTAGACAGAGGAGTGGCCTGAGGCGAGGAGTACGTGAAGCCGAAGCGCTGAAGGACCTGCTGCACCATGTGTGACTGAGTCAAGGTAATGGTGCGGCGTGCTCTGTCCCGAGTGATCTGCAAGCCAAGGTAGCTGCGCAGTTCACCCAGGTCTGTGCACGTGTGTCTCTTCTGCAGCTCGGACTTCACGTAGGCTAGTCCAGCCGTGTCAGCTGTGGCAAAGACCAAGTCATCGACGTACACGAGGACGTAGAACGGCGGCAGAGAAGTGTCGGTGCGCAGAAACAACGACGGGTCTGCAGTAGAGGGAGCAAACCCAAGAGCCGCAAGCGTAGTCCTCAGTGTGTCGTGCCACTCACGCGGTGCCTGGCGGAGACCGTAGACTGGCCGTCGGAGGCTCCACTGGGTGCCAGGAGGGAAAGTCCCAGTGAAGCCAGGTGGACGGCGCAGCCAGATCTCCTCGTGCAGGCTACCCTGCAAGAAAGCAGTACTGAAGTCAAGAGAGTGGAGCTCGTAGTCGCGCTGAGCGGCTATGTGCAGCAGCACCCGAAGAGTGGTCATCTTCGGGGTGGGAGAGAAGGTCTGAAAGTAGTCAACTCCCTGCCGCTGACTGAAGCCACGAGCGACGTACCGCGCCTTGAAGACAGGTGGAGAGCCCGGCGGCCGCTTCACCCTGAAGATCCACATGCCACTGACGATGTTCGCCCCAGGAGGGGGAACCGCGTCAACGTAGGTGCCTGTGGACTTCCAGGACGCCATCTCTGCATCCATAGCTGCCTGCCACTGAGAGGAGTAGGGACCCTCTACGGCCTCCGCGTAAGAGCGCGG